GTGCGACAACCCCAGACGACTCGGGCAAGCAGGGGATCACCGCGGCCTCCGAAAGGGTGGTCAACGAAACGTACCTGCTGTATTTGGGATCTGAGATCAGTTGGCATGAGTGGGCATCTGAAACCAGCACCGTTGGCATCGCACGCTGTTCAGCCGTCGTTTTGCAAAGTAAGTGTAAGTGTCAGTGTCAGTGTGTGGGTGGGGGTGTGGGGGGTGGGGGTGGGGGCGGGGGTGCGGTGGGGGTGAGGGGGGGGTGGGAGTGGGGGTGGGTGGGTAGGGGGGGTAGGGCATCGGCGCGTATCTCGAAGCAGGTTGAAGCTCCATACACAGATACACACAAACACACGCACACACATGTATATGTATATATACATATATATCTATTTATTCATTTATATTTGCTTATTTCTTTATAGTTATTTATTTTTGTTTGTATTTATTTATATTTATGTATATTTATTTATATTTATTTACATTTATGTATATTTATTTATATTTATTGAAATAAATATGTATTTATATGTATTTATATTTATTTCTATATATATATATATATATTATATGGATGGTACCCCCCCCCCTTGAAAGATCCACGCTTTTCAGTCTGTTTTGAGCTCTTCGTGTGCAGTCCCTGCCTATTTGTTCTTCCATGTCTTCTGTATGTCTGTCTTCCCACGTGGGTGGGAGTCAGGAGAGCACTGTGACATAAGATGAGAGGGGGGAGGCAGGCAGCGACTGCTTGAAAGCCTCGAAGTTAATCAATATACCCGAGGCTGGGCCCGCGGCTCGGCGGACCCTCTTTGACCGGCTGCAAACACACACACACACACACACTCACTCGGACGGACACGTACACAAGGTCTGTGGAACTTCGCAGTACGGTGGCCTGGATTGAAACTGGATTGAAGGATTGAATTTCAATCCGGGCCCGGATCCAAGATCCAAGATTCTCCCAGAGCTCTTCGGGCAGAATCTTGGATCTTGGACCCGCACCCGGATTGAAATTTAATCCTTCAATCCAGTTTCAATCCGGATCCAAGATTCTGTCCAAAGACTCCTGGGAGAATCTTGGATCTTGGATCCGGGCTCGGATTGAAATTCAATCCTTCAATCCAGTTTCAATCATGCATGGTTTGCTGCATGCCAGTGTGTCTGAATGCACTGTGAGCCGATGTGCAGCGCTTGATCGCTTGCTGCATGCCCGTGTGTATGCTTGCACTGTGAGCCAACCTGCAGCGCAAATGTCCAAGATCTTTAATGACACGCAAACATCAAACCTTGTTATCTTGGCCGTTGTATTTCCTTCCTTTTTGGCGGAACTTCGCCATGAACTCGCATCTTTACCATATGCGGGAACATGCTTTTTCGGTACCATGACAATGAGCTACGTAGTATTCAATATTTCGGGATTTGCTTTGTGACTGTTGCTGCTACTCGAACTTCCTATTTTCCGTACCACTTTTCAGGACCACTTTTCGCCTTTTATGGTTGGGTCCTTGGGTACTTTGCTATGCTTTGGCAAGCTGGTCGCTACATTTTGATGGGCCGACCATCAACGCTGTACTTTGATGTAGCTTGGTATGCGACACCACTTTTCTGGAACTACGAAGCAGCGGCTTTGCACCACGAACCACGCAACTTGTGTATAGCTTCGCAACTTTTTGTGCTGTAGATAGGAGGCACGTTGCTCCACAGGTTTTGCACATGAAGCAACACGCCCACTTTCTCCCAAGCCCCTGAAGCAATTTTTTGTCGTGAGCTTCTACTTTCTCCTGTGTTGTTGGTTGTGCCAGAATAAAGTACAGTACTTTATCTCAAGTAGGGCGTGTGAAAATAACACGCTATCTCCATACCCCCCACTTTACCACCTATATGGCTCAAGATCACGATGCACTTTGCGCCATCCCTGGAAAGAGGCGCTCCGTGATTTTCAGGGTTACTTTGATCTGAATCTGAGTGAGCAATGCACGCAGTACTTTAGAATTTTGTTGTTATTGCGACTGTGCTTATCTGCGTACGTTGTACTTTCGCAGACACACACAAACACATACATACATATCATACACATACACACGCATGTGCACGAAGAAACCTGGTATTCGCCCTGTACGGACCTTCTCTTCAGGCGGTTCGCGGGGCCCCGTGATTTTGTCTTCTTGAGCTTAAGTTAAGGCTCCAGGCCTTTGTATTTGAGACCCATGCCATTCGGGTGGGGGTGGGGCCCAGAACGCACGGCACACCACGATACAATATAAAATGTATACATATATGTTCGTCTCCAGAACAAACACGTGTGGGGACAAGTAATTATACACGGCTTTGCCACCTCTAGACAAGGCTGTCCTCAAGTGATGTTGACCATGACCCTCCTGCCAGGCTGCAAGAAGGGGAGGAGTCGCTGCAGGCCGTGCGGAAAAGTACCAAAGCTCAGCGTCGAAGATGCCAATGTTTCCATAAGTACCTGAATTTCAGGAGTCCGTCGGAAACCACACTCTTTCGGCCATGAAGGACTGAGTCTTCCAGTGTGGGCAGTGGTCGCTAGAAGTCTTTTTGCCGGGTCAGCAATTGGCAAGCGGCAACAACCGTCGGGTGGATGTGGGCCTCCAGGCACCACCCGATGAAGTTCAACAGATTCTCACGCACCCAAGCCCTTGCTGGCCTGCAAGCTTCGGAGGACTTCGTGGATGGCTCGGTTGCACGCTAAGTTCTGCAGAGTACTGGGAGTTACTTGCCAGCGGTGTCGCAGTTCGATTGGGTTATTTGGCGAGGGCACTTGCTTCTTCCAAAGCTCTGTTGCAACCTTCAGCATGTCAAAGCCTGTTTACCTTACTCGAACTTTGTTTGACAGGCCGGAGAAGCTGATGACTAAATCTTTTTCTGCAAGCTAACGAGTAGGACGTAGGCTGTGCCGCTGCTGCTTGCAACATGAGTATTGATGTTTGTGGCATCGACTTTCCAACATGCCAACATTTATGTGAAGGTATATATATATGTATACTCTCTATCTCGCTCCATCTCGCGCTCTCGTCCTCTCTAACTCTCTCTTTACTTTTCCTCTTCTCTATTTGTACCGTTGAAATGTTTGTGTGTCTACACGGCGCACGGATATTCGCAGAAAAATGCATGCACAGTTGCTCAGGTAGCATGAATGCAAACTGACAGCAGTGCTATGTGTGCACGTCGTTGTAAAGCTACACATGAAGCATATTAACTCTTGGGCACGTTCAGACATACAGTCCAGATCAAGACATTATATACAGATAGAGATAGGCAGATAGTCAGAGTGTTGTGTATGTCAATGATCTCTGTCTGCTCCTGCTGCTGCCTGGCTTCTAGCTTATGCAGTGTAGTCGGCGCGCGCAGCTGCAAACAACAGCAGCATCCATGGAGGTGCCCGGGAGCTGAACAGCAAGTCTGAATTCAAAAACAGAAGAAGCGGGCTATCCCTGTCGTACGTACTACAGTTGGGGTCATGGCTGAAAGGGCTGCAAAAACCCGAATCTCAGTGCTGACAAGAGTCTGAAACCACTGAAAAGAAGCCGACACCAAAGAGGTCCGCATTGCGAGTGGCAGCGTGAGATGGGGTGTTCACGTTGACATGTACTTGCAATTCGGCTCTCTGTGGCATATCTGCAGAGTTTGAGCAAAACCGTTGAATTCCCTCCTTCCTCAGCCCCCCCACTTGAAAGAGAGCATGTTCAGGACACGCATGCTGCAGCGGAGCATGGTTCCGCCGTCAGGCCTGGCTTGAACAAAGTCAGTCGTCAGTCCAATCAGAAAATGCTGCATCGAAGCAACGATCAAGGTGTCTAGCAGTTTCAAAGATTACACATCAACACAGAACATACTGACATCGAAGACGAAGTCATACAGACTGCTAACCGTCTATGAACTGCTCGAAGCAGCATGCAATGTTCCATTACCTAGACTTTCACTGTGTCTTGACATAGTCACGCAATGTCACGCGCGCATGTTGCATGAGTTTGCACCCAGTTGAAGGATAGCTCGTATCACACCTTAAAGCTTCCGCAAGGGTCAGCTCGCAGCCACAAGGTCTTCCAGCGAGAAGCCATCACCGCATCCGAAGCGGCCTCGTGTCTCCTTCACGACAGCAGCCTGTCTGCAAAAATCTACCTCTCCGGGCTCTTCATACGTTTTCTTGGTGCGATCAGCGCATCCAGATCGATCTGGCGACCACGTTGTTTGCAAGTACGCAGCATTCGAACTCCGTTCTTGAGCATGTTAGCCTTCGGAACGACGGCTCATGCGTCACAGGTGAGCATGCGGACTTTCAGCGATGGCGAAGTGCAGGAGCTGTCCAGTCCAAAGGAGCGAGCTTCTCGACGAGCGATATTGAAGCTAGCCACCTCGAGGGCTGATGGAGCAATTTACCTTGTGCGTTTTTGTGATTGCGCTTGCCTGCTCCCAAGCTCCCAAATACTCCTTCACGACTGCAGTGATGGTGCCCGAATGCATCCCAGGCACTGTCACCCATCGTGGATGGCTGTGCCGGTACGGAAGAGGGCGATCTGTCGGGCGAGGTCTGGGCTTTCAGAACTTGTCTTCTCGATTTTTGTTTGTCATCTCGAAGTGGCTCTCAGGTTTTGGAGTGATGACAGCTCTCAGTTCGCAAGCTGCAGCCAAGGTCACCGCCAACGTGGAGAGCCTGCTGCAGTCTCAGAATTAATAGCGACTGCAGAGGAGGTGTTCGGAGGTCCTGATTTGTAGTAGGGACCTTAGCGGAACAATTAGCATAGCATTTTGGGGTATGCCATAGTTTATTGGTATTAATCATACTGAGGAACCCTGGCGAATGATATTTGGCAATGGTTCATTCTTTGGGGGAGTGGGAAACGTCTGTTGGCTCAGACCCTCGAAGACCGAGGTCCCGACTGGTACTCGAGGATGAGCTCGATGACGCAAGGACCGCAAGGGCTAACTTCAGGAAAGCATGTCTCCGAGACACCTCACAGGACCTAGCATCTCCGATGAGTTTGTTGATGCTGGTCCACTGTCGGGTCTGCCTAATATTAAGTGCTGTGAAGAGATGCTGTCCAAAGTTCAACGCGTCACCACCAAGGTCCTTGTACACTGCACAGTGTTCCCAACAGAGGCCATGATTTGGAGAACTGTCCGCGCTTCCCTCTGCCAGGAACACGCACGCTGATGCGGAGATGAAGCCGCCACTCGAAAGCCTTCCCGAGCAACCGGTATTGAAGGTGGGACAGGACACGCCAGTGCGGACGCCAACCACCGAGCAGGAGACTTCGCCACTTCCTGAGAGCTGGGACCTCTACAAGCAGTTCAAGGGCAGACTCTCTGTGCAAATTGATATACTGTCATTTTTTGTATGTTTCAAACATCTTTCTGCCCTACAGGGCACCACAGAATCTGCAATAGTCTTTTCGACACGACCGGACGAGTTGCCAAGGCCAGGCTGCGTTGAACAGCCAGGGTATGACGGCGAGTCAGGGTCTGGCGAACAGTGCGCCTGGAGCTACGCCGAGTGTGCCGAGCGTGGCAGCTGCACCTGTTCCGAGAATGAGTCCCGAAGTGAAATCGACCGCTCCGATCTCCACGCGGAAGTTCAGCCCAGAGCAGCTGCTGCAGAAGGGCGGCCGGGGAGCCGCGGCAGCAGCTTCCCTCCGCGCGACGACAGCAGCACCGGCACCTCCCTTGCCATCTTTCTCCAGCAAGGTCTCCATCAACTCTTCTCCGAACAATGCCTTCAACAGGGGCCGGTCTCCAGACACGGTGGACATGAGCGGCGTTGTGAAGTCGATCCAGATGGGCCCCATCAGCCGTGGTCCTGATGAACAGGAATCCGAGGTGCCAGAAGGCCGCAAGTCCTTCGCTCCCTGGCTGAGGATTGCGGTTGCTGCATGCCGCATCATGTTTTTGGGGGGTTCCGACTTGGGCCTAAGCTTCTTCGAAGGCCACATTTCAGAGCACCGAGCCTTGCCCAGAGCTCTTTGCCCTCAAGCAGGTGGGCTCTCGCAATTTCTTTGGGCTGCTGCGCATTTTGTTGGAAGGGTTCGTGCGGGAGCGCAGTCAACTTTCCTGATTCCTGTGCTAGCGCCGTAGAGTTTCAGACCAGTCTGCCGCACCAGGCCTCGCGTCGGTTGCAGGAGCCGAAGAACCTCAACTGGGCCATGCGCCGGCACCAGCATCACAGGAGCCGGGACGGACATGTTGAGCTCCTTTGGGAGCGTAGCTTGGGGTTTGTGGCACCGAGGGAATGGGCACCTGTCACATCTCCAGGAGTGACCTGAACAGCTCAGCCGAGCGATTCCGTGAGATGCGAGACCAGGCCTTGGTAGCTTGCCGGGTCTTCCGGCAAGCTATGAGTGAGCCACGCTGGGATCCGACCATTCCACCGATCCCGAGGATAACCTGGTTCTCCTCCCCTTTTGGTTTTGGGATGTTTCGAAAGTTGTGATCTCTGAAAACGAAGCTTGTGCAGCGACAGGTGATGAAAGCCACGGAAGATGATCAGCAGATGATGGCACAGAAGGTTCTCTTGATCATCTCCGGTTTTGCTTCAGTTGGTCTTGGAACTCGGATGTGGATAGATGCTACATGCTAGTTCTCGCTGCTAGCTGTTCCTCTTATATCCATGGCTTGGCTTGTAGGAGTGACCGTGCCAGGCCGAAGAAGCAAGCCGAGATTTGCAGATGGAAGATGCGGCTTTGCAGGAGCTGGAGAAGAAGGCCGGGACTGCCGTTAATCCTTCGATGACTATGACTGCTGATGTCCTTGCCGGCATCTCAAGACTCGTTGCTATTCCTGTTGCAATGGCCGTTTGCATCTGGGTCACCGTTGTAAATTCTGCCACTGCCATTATTGAAGTGACGGCGTGAGTCTGATTCCGACAAGCATCCGGCAGATCCTAGTTTCATCCTGGATCCTGCACTTCGACAAGCCGGAATCTGCCAGAGTACGCTCTTGGAAGCCAGAGTCTTGTGGCAGTAAATTCCTCGGGAAGTGAATGCATCTGCGAGGTGGAAGCCGCGCGCCAGTCCGTGGAAGGAAGTCGCAGCGCGCTAAAAGAGGCCAAGTCTGCCTTCCTGTAGAGCGCTAGGCTGCTAGGATGTACCGCCTGCAGTTTCAGCTTCGGCCTTGGAAGATGAGTGTCAGGCTTCTCAGGCTCGGCTTCGATGAGATCAGCACTCTTCGCCCTCCGTACACTTAAGCCGCAAGCCGTCAACCTTCCGAACTTTCGGCAGACTGCGAGGCGAAGCACCGTCTGCTGCAGACGAAGGCTAGGCGCGTCGCTCTCCAGCTGCTCAGCAGCAAATTTAGATTGAAGCTTGCACTTCACAACCATTCGGAGCCGCAGGGGAAGATCAGGACAGCAGTGTATCAGTTTCTCACATAGTAGGAAGCAGTGAGACATTTGCAAAAAGCTAGTCCTAGCAGCGCCTATACACGTCAATGTGGTCAGAGACTTAAAGGAGCTGGGCACACAATGTCAGCTGAGACCCAGGCAGGCCCACTATGCACGCACCTGCCTGGTGACACGAGCTACAGAGGCATTCCGGAGCTGCTTTGTGCAGGCTTTTGGTAAGGAGAAGACTAGGTGGAATTTCATTGAATCGTGCGTCCTTGCTCGCATTTGGGGGGACTGTGGAGGCTCAAATTGACATTCGGTTGCGCGGCGGCGCCACCGCGACGATCTCTATGGTCTCTTGGCAGTAGATCGCTTGTGCCCACACCTGTGCCGGATGCTGATGCCCACCCCACACCCCCACCCTGACCTGCATGAGCGATTCGCATGTGCATTGACTGTCAACAGCTGGGTCAACTTATAATGTGACACGAGGCTTCCGAGCGCCATCAAGCACACCTATCCCTGCGTCTGGGAGGAGCCATGGCCGAGGCTTCTCGAGGGCTTGGTAGATCACGCCGCTGTTGCAAGCGTCAAGCGATGACAAACTGCTAAAAAGTTCCGATGAACCGGGTCCCGGCGAGCCTGGCTCCCGCAGAAGACAGTCGCAAGTCTGTGGCTCAAGCTCGCTTGCTCCGACGTTCACTGTGCCGACTCCCTGCCAACAATGCCGATCCAGAAGGTGCACGCTCGTCAAGTCTTCGACTCCCGTGGCAACCCCACTGTGGAGGTGGAGATTACCACCGAGGCCGGCGTCTTTCGGGCCGCCGTGCCCAGTGGAGCGTCCACCGGCGAGCATGAAGCCTGCGAGCTCCGCGACGGTGGCAAGGACTACATGGGCAAAGGCGTCTCGAAGGCACTGGAGAATGTGAAGTCGAAGATTGCACCTGCAATCCTCGGGAAGGACCCAACTGATCAGAAGGGCATTGACAAGATCATGAGGACCCAACTGATCAGAAGGGCATTGACAAGATCATGATCGACCTTGATGGCACGGAGAACAAGACCAACTTGGGAGCCAACGCCATTCTGGGCGTCTCCATGGCCTGTTGCCGAGCCGGTGCTGCACAGAAGGGCCTGCCACTTTTCGAGCACATCAACGAGCTCGCCGGGAAACCGCTCATGTGCATGCCTGTGCCATGCTTTAACGTCATCAACGGCGGCGTCCATGCTGGCAACTTCTTGGCTTTCCAGGAGTTCTTCCTAATCCCGGTGGGTGCCAAGACGTTTGCTGAGGCCATGAAGCTGGGCTCCGAAACGTATCACAACCTGAAGGGAATCATCAAGAAGAAGTACGGCTTGGACTCTACGGCTGTTGGCGACGAGGGCGGCTTCGCCCCTGCTGTGGCAGATCCGGAGGAGGGACTGAAGCTTCTTCTTGAGGCCATCAGCCAGGCAGGTCATGAGGGAAAGATCCTGATCGGCTCGGACCCTGCTTCTTCCGAGTTCTGGAAGGCTGCCGAGCAGAAGTACGACATGGACTTCAAGAGCACCAACCCCAAGCCGGACAGCAAGAAGAGCCGGGAAGAGATGGTGGCCCTCTACAAGCACTTCTGCGACACCTACCCCATCGCACTACTAGAGGATCCCTTCGCCGAGGAGGACTTCGATGGCCACTCTCAGCTGACTGCACTGGTGGGCGACAAGGTGGAAATCGTTGGTGACGATATCTACTGCACCAATGTGAAGCGTGTCCAGATGGGCTTGGACAAGAAAGCCACCAATGCCATGCTTTTGAAGGTTAACCAGATCGGCAGCATCTCCGAGTCGATTGCAGCCTGGAAGCTGTGCAGGGACAACAAGTGGGGCGTCTTCGTGTCGCATCGCTCTGGCGAGACGGAGGACACATTCATTGCCGACCTCACTGTGGGTCTCGGCACCGGGCACCTAAAGACAGGAGCTCCCTGCAGGAGCGAGCGCTTAGCAAAGTACAACCAGCTGTTGCGCATCGAAGAGGAATCCTCACTGCCCTACTGCGGGGCTCACTTTCGTGCCCCGTGGACCATGCCAACTGCCAAGGGTGCATAAAGAGCTTGGGACTTGTACAGGGCAGCCCCAACCCTGGGCATGTTCTTCTTCGGTGAGACGAGGCAGTGCACTTTTGTGATCATGCGATCTAGATCGCACCGTTCATTTTAGACTTACAGCCTAAGCCGCTGTTGGCCTCCCTGAGCTTGCACTATTCGTTCCTGGCGCTTGCACAGATGACCTTGCGCCTCCTCTGCCGGGCACAGCACCTGACATGTACAGCCCCCACTGACATAGCCGAGGGTGCTGGCAAAGCATGCACGATCATGCGCTTGACATGGCAGCGGTGGGTTTGTGGGTGAGTTGTGTATCCGGTCGCAGAGGCCCAGGAAACTTCATCTGCTGATGCTAGTCTGTGTTTTTCGTAAAGTTTGGAGAGCTTTGATGTTCTGCCGCGACAGGCCTTGGAGGGAGCTTGGCAGGACGCTTGCGCCTCGATGCCCAAGGAGCTCGATAAGGCTACGCAGAGCCCCCTTCTTTGACTATGTTACGTGCCGATGTATTTTGGTGGCTCTTCTTCCCATGACCCTGCCTGTCGTCAGGTGGACGACTGCGGCACCTGCAAGGATGTTGTCTTGTCCACCTCGCAGGTACACTGTCACAGTCATCTCCGGCTCGTCTGCTCGGGATAGGTTTTTTTTTCGACAGTCTTCTTAATCCAATCCCCCAACTCAACTTCTTGAACCTGAAGCTTCGATGAGCCAGTTCAACTCCGCTTGATTGCCGCCAGCTGCCAACACTGCTCCGGCACCTGGATGTCGCAGCCTTGAAGGCACAAGTCGAAGCCAGGCCAGGCAAGTGTCGAGTCGCATTTCCCCAAGTTTTCCCTTGGCGACTCTTCCCCCATTCCACAGGTCGGAGTGAGCCTTGCCGGGCACATTCGCCACTCTGAAGTCTCATCTGCAGAAAAATCCTGCTGTCCAAATGCATTGCTGAAGTCGGCCACGCAATACTCGTCTCAACAGTTGCTGTTACCATGTATGATGCTGCCGAGAGTTCCAAGCTTCAGCAAAAGCAGAAGTGATGTGCGACTGCGTTTATTGCAGACCTGCCAAAGTCTTGTAGACCAATTCGGAAGGCATTGATATAATTCAGCAACTTGGGTGCTGGTTGACTCCGGAACGCTCCCTCATGGGAGCCACAGCCGATGCACGTCTTCAATTAAGAATGCATGTGACACGCCAGAGGTAGTCCAACTGGCGACTTAAATATAGGTCACTTCTTTGCTCGACTTTGCATTCCAGAGTGTTGAAGCATATCCATCCATACAGGCTGAGACCGCCACTGGAAGAAGTCGCTGCATGGACTGCCCTCCTCGTGGCCTTCGACTCGTCTGCGAGCAGAAAAGAAGGGAGCACATATCGGCAAGCCGCACAATAGCCGGAGGAGTTTGGAAGGACAGAGACTCCTCGACAAAGACACATTCGCCCGCAAGCACAGATCGTACGTCTCAGTCATGAGGAGGAGAGGTGTGTTAGATGGACTCGCTTGGGTATTCGATGAAGTAATTGGCTTCCAGCTGTGACAGGCTCAGTTTATGCGGCCTTCGACACCAAAACAAGTTGGGTCAACCTGTTTGTCCACATTCTTGTCATGCTCGCAAAGTCGTTGGACGTCTCTGCTGGAAAGATACAGACCATAGAGTAGATGACTTCCGCTGCTTGGAACAAGTGTTATGGAAATGTGCGTGACTCCACCAAACGTAGGCAGTACGAGGAGAAAATTTCATGATGCAGATGGGAGCAAAGCACGGCCTCAGCACGACACGAGATGCAATAGCATGACTCATATGAGGGCACCTTCCGAGACTCAAAACTGCTCATGGCACTTCTCAAGGCAGACGGCAGATAAGTGCCCAGCCCGAAAGAGGCGGCACATTTTGCTTGCCTTTCTCCAGTGTTCCAAATTGCATCGGATCCTACAGTTTTTCGCGCCATAGTGCGAGAAGAGTTTTCAAATCAGGAGCTCTTGCCCACATGCAGAGAGGGGGAGAGAGAGCGAAAAATGTCATGCTCTCTGTTTGCTGGGGGCGAAACAGCAGGTGATAGACAGGGGAATCGCATCATGTGTTCAAATCATGCAATACTTTACCCGACTTCAGTGTGCAGTGTGTTGAGTCCTGGAGGCGGCCACCTTTGCCCATGAACAACCGAGCCTGCGGGGGCAAAGCCCTGACCTGACATTCCAAAACACTGCAGAGAACCGTAGGTGCGTGCACGCGCGCGAGCGGAAGGCAGCCGTCCTTTCCCTCTGTCGTGGTAGAGAGTGGGAAAGAGAGCTTATTCTCGACCGCTTCGGGGACTGGTTCCACAGCTTTCCCACCGAGCCCACAAGCGTGGGTGGGCCATCGGCCCGGGAAGGTTGAGGATCTATCTATCTATCTCTCTCTCTCTCTCGCTCTCTCTCCGTGCCCGTGTCATTGTCTGTCGCTCTCTCTTGGTCTTCCTCCCGTTCGCGGGGCGGCTTGACTCACCCACCACGCACCCAGGTTACACTCTCACTCCAAGACATGCCAGTATGATGAACTGCGGAAGGGAGACAAGAATTGCATTCGAAGCATCTGTAGCACGCGCTCCATTGCCAATCCGCCTTCGCCGACCAAGAAGATACAAGTACAGCACCGGGCAACAAATCTAGTGGTCCGTCACATCCGTCACATATCAGGGAATCTGACTCACGTATGCCAGCACCAAGGTGAACTTCCTGGCGGTGGCCAGATCCGTGCAAACAACGCCACAGACATGGAACGTGCGCCTGCTGCTGTGGGCGACTTCTGTTTGTTGGGTTGGCACAGGGTGCTCCAGTTCGCACTGGCAGATTCATGCTTGAAATTTGTTTCCCTTTAATTGGTTTGTGTAACATGTTGCTGTTTGAGTTTCGACTTTGGCTCGAGTCGACCGAATCGGTGCCAGTCCCCAACAGAGATTACGCCTGCATGGGTTGCGGAGCCAGCACTGCTGCTTTGCCCGCAACCCCGGGATCATGTCGGCCGCAGTCTGACTTCCACAGTCTGCGTGTCATGCGCGAAGTCGTACCGACGCGCGCATGGGAGCAAGATCCCGCCGATTGCAAGATGAAGCACTTGTCTGCCAGCCGTGACCAGCAACTCACGGCTAATATTAATGTGAGCACAGGTGCAGACTCCTGCAGAGCGGATGCAGCGGATGAGAGCCAACGAATTCTGTCCTCCTGGGACTCGGCAGCTTGGGGCGATGGGGCACCCAGAAACGTTCCCTTGCCTCCAGACCGTCGTCTGCACGAGAAGCACATGAAACACTTCCAGAGCTTCCTCCAAGAGGTTCGCAGGTCTCCCAGGGTCTTTGTCAAGGTTGTTCGCACAAAGCGCACCGGGACGCCGAAGCTCTCCCAATAGGACCGCAGTGACCAGGATCCTCTCAGACTGCCGTGGGATATTCCACAGCTGTTGCGCTCCGCTGATTTATTTAAGAATCTGGCCCCAGGAAGCGGGGTCTTCAGATTTGAGAAGCCAGGGCAACACAGTCATCACCTTGCCTCAAAGAGAGACTACAACGGTGTATACTAGTAAACATGCCAATGTGTAAACGCTTTTCAGTGCACAGGCTCGGTGAAGTGATGGCACTGTTATTTGTTCTGGCTGAAGATAGTGATGAATCACTCGCTGATCGGCGAGTCGATTTTTGGACTTCTGTAGTCGGCTGCAGAGCTACAGTTTTCGGGCTAGAGTATTCCTGAGCATGATATCCCTGGTCCGTCGACGGTGTTGCTCTAGCAGCACCAAGTCGACATGCCAATCCCCAACTCAGCAGTGTTGTTACATCCGGTCATGTTCAGGGAAACAGTTGTACAGCACCTCCGCAATGAACGGTGTCAGTGGCTTCTGCCCAAAAACAGGTCAGCATAGCCGCGGTTGCATGATTCGGTTTGGCGTATGTGCGCTCAGCAAGTGTAGATACCAGTAGCATCCATGTTTCAAGAGATTAGCTGGCTTCAGCCACCGACAGGTCTACTCCACACCGCTCGTTTGGGTGCAAACCCGCCCTTGACCTCCTTGTGTCATCCGAGTTTAGATTGAAGTACCAACGAGTTTGCACGCATTCTTGCATGGTGTTGATTCGTGGACCTTATTGGTGGCGCATGCAAGTGGTCCAGGCAGATTGGACAAGCGGACAAATCGAAGATTGAGGGCCAAGTGCAGCTTCAGATCTCCAAGTTTCCTAATGGCACCAGCTTGACAAATGTCACTGGTGTTGAGCCTTGGCTTCACACGGGCTAAGGCCGACAAGTCTTTGAAGGGAGGTAGTGTCCTCCGGCAGAGTTTCATGGCCTTCGGCCAGCTTGGAGCTTGCCTGTTGCTGAGTGAACCTACTGTAGCAAGACCTGCTGTACGATGAGGCAAGCGCCCCGCTCCGCGCCTTTTCCCATGGGCAGGACCAGGAAGAACACGGACTAGCAACGATGTAAAGCTGTCACCGGGACAGGTGTGGTGGCATCATGCCACGGTTGATGTGTCTGAAAGGTCTTGATATCATAGGCTTTCTGCACGAAGTTCAGAAAAATGTCAAGATCCACCGCACCCGGGCAGTCCAGCTACTTTCAGTTAGTCGCATCGATGTAGCGACCTACTGCGACCTACTGGAAGATTGCTGACCAGAAGCCAAGCAAAGGAGCAAAGAGAAAAGCCGTCGTGCTGGGCCTTGCTTGAAGTTTAGTTGCCGAGAGCTGCTTCAATGCCGCGCCAGGAAGCAGAAGACGCAGCAAACCAAGCTGTGCAGCAATCCCTCCAAGAGCTGCTTACCCAGGTTGTAACACATCGAAAGCGGTTTCAGTCTTGAGCAGCTCGTTGTAGCCTGCACGTGGAATTGCACTTGGAATGTGTGACATGCGACAGTTCGGTTACTCTCGGATTGACTTACTCGCTGAGTAAGTGTTCTGCGCGAACGTAACTGGGTGGCATGCAGAAAAGACTGGCCCAAGACAAAATCTCGTCGCGCGCACTTCGCACGACTCCTCGCTTCGCCTTCTACAGGTCACCACTGGCAATCGCAACTGCTTCAGCAGACTGCCAAACTAGTAACTTGTGACAGCTTGCGTCCATGTTGAAGTCGGGTAATTACCTAAAACGATCATGGATGGTGACTTGGCCGACCCGGCCTGCCTCCGTCTCATCCCCACACACACACACACTTCCTGCCTTGTCGTGGGGCATGATCGACCCGCGCCTCCAACCTGGCATGCACAAGTGGCTGACCAATCGATACCCAATCGCCGAAAGTCATGTGAGGCCTCATGTTTTGCCCGATTGTTCAGACGCGCTCGCTCATAACGGTGGCAGATCGCATAAAGGCGCCACGATGCATGCAGGACTGTTTTTGCGGCCAGTGCGATGCATGCGAGCACCACCATTTCTCCTACTACTGCTGCGAATCAACGACGATTTGTCATTATTGTTGGTCGGCGTCGTCGCCATAGTAGAAGTGGTAGTGGCATTGGTAGCAATAGCTGCTATCAGCAGGGCCTGTGTTTGAGCCTGACATCAATTCCTGAGCCCCGAGGCTGGCGTCTATGGGTGGCGACATGGGTATTGTGGCTCAGGCTCTGTTTAGGCACGCGCATGTGGCCTTTTGAGTGAAGTGGCTCCAGCAGGACGCAACCTATCAGCTTCAAGTCGTTGACAATGCCATGCAGGCAGAAGGAGTCCGGAAACTCATGCAGTGCTAGGATTTCTCCCACGCGTGTCTCAATGTGGTCACTTGAGTGAAACTACACTAATTGCCACCGACAGGCCGCAAAGCAGCAAGTCGTGCCTGCGCAGGAGTCGGCCCCAGTTCTTCCAAGCTGTTACTGCAAGTACTCAGTCCTGGTCCCTACTCGCCCACCTCATT